GACTGACACACTGGAAAATTATGTTGGAGTCTTTTAATAGTTATCTTTGTCACTTGGAGAGTAAAAGTGTTGTAAGGTCAGTGCAGAAATCCAACACTTTCCAGGAAATTTGCACAATAGCACCAACAGCCATTGTACGGCTGCCCTCTAAGTGTCAAAGTTTCTGTTTGTTTGATAACCTCAGTTTCTAATGTATTAGTAAAGGTATGCTTTTATTTGCCTTGTAGTAAACATGGCAAATAGAGATCGTATTTTCTGTCAGGCTCATTTATCCACGGATAAAGTTCCTTGAAAAGAAAATATCTAAGCCCTAATATAACAGGTGCCTAGAGGAAAACCACCAAAATGTAGTTGATATAAAAACAGGCATTGTGGCATATTAAAAAATTATGATTCCTACTTTTAATACCAAGGTCTGTGTTTTTATGCTGAATCATGCTTCCATGTAACACTCCATTTCACTCAGTGAAATGCCATGGTTGTATTTGAAATGAAAAACAAAATTCCTCCTTCACAGAGCAGTAAATTTTCCAAGTGTTTGTGGTTTGTTCTTTTCAGATGGATGAAAAAAGGAGGGAATCCACCTCAGAAATTATTAGAATACTGTCATAGTATCATTCATCTTGGCAAAAGTTGACTGAGCAGATGATGAAGATCCACTTAACTTGGACTCAATCAAAGGTTTCGCTATTTTCATTTCACAGGCCAGATGTAGCTCATCACCAGTTGGAGCCGATTTCAGACGAGGTGTTGAGTTTGTTGGTCCAAGAGAGGATCTGATCCAGGCATCAAAGGGAGCCATGAGAGAAGCGTGTTCTCCCCCCTGCTCGCAATTGTCTGCAGTACTGGCTGCTCACTTCTGACAAACTGTTATTGTCCCAGAGCAAGGGTTCCTGTACTCCTCAACCCTCCCCTCCCTGTCCAAACCTACTGTCCTGCCAGCAGCCAGCTAAGCAGCGCAGACCTGGAGCCTGCACAAAAGTGAGGAGGAATTGCTAATAAATGCAAGCCTGTGCATTGGGAAAATTAGGAGCCAGCTTCCTGCTGTGTGTTCATTTGACTCATCCACGCCCATACACCAAGCAAGGAGGTAGCTATCTGTTAACCACTTTTCCTTTGTGATTCTTAAACTTTTTCACTGTTTTGTGGGAAACACATTCCAAGTTATCTGTGCAGCATCTGTTGCCTTCTCTTTCTGACCCATGCAAAAAGCTTTGCTGGTCTAAAATGACTGAAATGGCTTATTGATGATGCCCACAGCATTCAAGGTGCAAAAAGTTCAGCAATACCCCAGCAGGATGCAAAAAGTGTGTGAAAATTTTTCTTACCCTGTCTTATGTCCTTAAATACAAAGTGTGCCTGAAACATTACTGATGCTTATTTTCCCCTGTTTCTGTCATTGATTCTAATCAGAGTTCAGTACACCTCTTGAAAATGAAAGCCCTTGAAAGCAGTGGTAAATAGAAAATATCTATTATTGTTGTATTAATGTAGTACAGGTTTGTTTTGTTAGGGTATGATTCAGCCTTATACAGAGGGTCAGCCTGAAACCTAGGCGTGACATTGGGAGCTTCAGAACCTAACTAGACTTTCTCTGGGTTTCACACTTTTTTCCTGATGCTTCACCCGAGGTGACTTTTTTCTCTCTTGTAGATTTTGTATGAATGGGTCACAGGAATCTCTGATGCATTTACAAAATTTTGTCAGCATTAGTAGAATAAAGCTCTTTCTGATATTATTTCATCTATTTCCAGTCTCTGACTGGATAAGCTTCAAATGACTGACCAGCAGAACAGGAAAACTTCATGAAGACGTTGCAATCAAACAAACTAGTGAAATATTAATTTGGCTTTTCCAACACAGATCTATGCTGGGGTCAAAAACTGTAGTCCAGTTACAGACTTTACAAGGTCAGATCTCTGCCTGGTCATAAAAACAGACTGCATGTTATTTGCTTGCAATATTCTGTTCCAACAAGAACTGTTCAAATTCACCTTCTCCAAGTGCCTCAAAGGATGAACAAATTGAAATTCCCACTGTAACAATATATTATATTAGAACAGTAAATATATTTATCAATGTTGGAAAAGATGGGCTGTCAGTTTTGTGCTTCTCCTTTCACATTTCTTCATTTTCTTCATTACCATCATATTAATGACAGCAACCAAAAAAACACTTAAAAAAACCTCAACAAACCCCCTTCCCCCATTGCCCCAGCAACCACCATTTGGAACATTTTCATAAATGTTCTTTTCAAGATGTGCCTTACTCAATGAAATAGATGCCTGAAATCATGCATACTTCAGCGTATTTCCTTTTCACATTCCTTCTGGACGTGTATTTATATGCCAACTCGTCTTCATAAATTTCATACCGGCCTTATAATAGCACAAATTAATGATGCTACTAGAAAAGAACTCAGCTGCTTTCAAAGGAGCAATAATCATGTCAGAGGTGCAGTTGGCATGAAGATGATTGAGTTGCACCTCTTCTCCGAGATATTTTCAGGGATGAATCATCCCTTACATAACATATAGCAATGGACAAATTTTCCATGTTACTCTGATACCTCATGCCATCACATTTAATTGTGTAACAGTCAATCACTCTCGCATAAATTTGCTTCCTCAATGATTTGTTGTAAGACCGTGGTAGATGTGTTTTCGGTAAGCTGATTCCAGACTTCAGAAGACGTGTCTGACACTACACTGAATTGCAGGAACTGCAAGGCAGCAACACACCTTTCTGGACACAAACTCCCCTTCTGACTCTTTGATGTGAGCTAATTGGAACTCCTCTCTCTAATATTAACTCCTCCTTTGTGAACAATTACAAGTGAAAATGATAGACAATAAGAAGTCACTTTACTGTAAATAAAAGACCTTCTTACACATTTTGCTTAAAAGACTTTTTCATATCCCTGTATATCAAAGATTTGCTTTACTGCTTGTGTCATTTTTCAGGTTATGCCTTGCACCTCTCTTTGAGAGATGGTTAGATTAATCATTCTTCTAATACTGAAAGCTGAATATGCTGACCACAAGGCCTGTGCTCCTCCTATACCACAGTACACAGACAGTATTGCTGACGTGACACAGAGTATTATCACACTTTCAAGCCAGGCTTCTAGAGAATACTTTGGGTTACTGACTATTTTAATAAACCAGAGTTAATTTTAGAATACATTATTGAAGTTTTTCATTGTGGACTGTTTTAAACAATGAAATCACACAGAAGTAATTAAAAACAGTACTTTTGTATTAAATAGTTATTATACTGGTGAGTTCCAAACACAGAAAGTCCAGGAACATTGGGCTTACTTAGAAAAATGTTTTCAGTAGAAAACCATAGATCTGGCACAGTGTATCAGGCTGCTATTTCACACAGTGCTTCACAGAGTATGGAATATCTATAAACCACCCACTCTTCAGGACTGATAACATTTCACATCATCTTAGTGCATGACATCTCCGTATGCCAGAGAGTGGTGAAGTGGGTTTATATCTATGTTGACTTTAACCTGGCTGAGGGTGATTCATCTCATTTTACTTTAAACATGTAACTGAAGTGACTTAGTAATCTAGATGCCCTGCACCTTAGGTTGATTCGATTTTGTGCTGGTGCATTAGGATTCACACCCCTAACCTGCTTCTCTCCCTCCTTCCACTGAGCCTAGCTTACCTCAGTGAGGTGCCAAAAGATACATGGGATAAATGAAATGAAATTAAAATATTGGATGGAATTCTGAAAAAAAGTAAGACCACAATTATTAAAGGAGAATGTCTGCTAACAATAGAATTATCAGAACTTAGTTCCTCTGATGAGGAGAGTTGATTAGACTTTTATTAACATTGATATTTCAAAATCTTCAACAGGTATCAGATTCTTTTAACCAGAGGAGAGGGATGCACACATACATTACCTAACATATTCCACCCCAATGACACTTGCATGAAAGAGCTCCCAGCAGCCATTTATTATGTGATAGTAATTTTAACGTAAATCTTTACTATATAGTTTTTTCATAGATTTCAAAAGCGGGTTTATCTAAGCCATAGAAATGCTGAAGAAGGGAAAATCAACCTGTGTAATACTGAACACAGTAGAGGAAGAGACCATAATTTTAGAAACAATATGTAAAATCTTCTCTCTCTTACACAAAAAAGAATTTTAAATCAGGAAAGGCTTTAAAGTTCACTGAAGGCATAATATTGTGAATGGTATTTAAGATCTGAATTCTGCTAGAGTGTATTTTCCCTTCCACTGCAAAGTTTCAAACAGTGCAATAAATTTCCCTCCTCTCCAATTATACTTTGTATGCACTCAACACAAAGTTTAGCTGCAACCTATGCAATCTATGCCTCCATACAAAAAGTCATACTTTTCTTAACTGGCTACTGTATATGAAAGGCTACCATATACTAAACTTTTCCCTTGCTACATTCCCTTTTCCTGCCAGAAATTTTGTCTGGATAGAGCTTAAGGATTTTGAAAATCTGCCCAGAAATTCCAGATGTTTTCCAGCCTGGCTGGGGTAGCAACACTGCCTGGGACACTCTGGACATTCAGAAAACTTGATTGTGTCTGCAGTGGACATGCACATCAACCCTGAGAGATATGTAAGATATGGCTGGGGTTCTGGGAATGCATCTGTCAACAGTGCAGCTTGTGCTCAGGAGATAAGATGGACAAACTGCATCCTACCTCAGTCTGCAGGATTGCTCTTGTACTTCACACTTAAGATGACTTGTGCAATAAACCTTGTCTTGCCAACCTTTCCTCAGCTTGGCTATTACATCATTGTTGAGGAGATGTAATTTGATTCCCATCAGTTTGAAGAACTCAGGTTACTCATTGCACAGAATATGTTCAAGGCTGCTGGCTTTTCTGTTTAATATCATCTCAAGTCTCTTTAGATCTAGGCCTTCCAGCAAGGACATCCAGAGCCTGACAAAAGCAAGAGAAAAGTCTCCTAGGAATGATACTGTTAGTGAAAAAAATGTATTTTATGTTCATATTTTCTGCAGTGGTCTTTCTGGGTCAATAAATTGTACCTTTGGACAACGGGCCTGAAAAAGGTTCTGGCTCTACTTTATGCCTACTGTCAAATGCAGCTCTTATTTGATATCGTGGTCGGCTCATGAAAGTCAAAGTACTTTCCCATGTGTTAGGCAGAGTGAAATCCAGGATGTGGATGTTCATTTCAAGGGACTGTATACATGTTTTGACTGATTCAGTTCATAAGATTTTGGACTCATACAAAACATTTATTCTACCTTCATAAAGATACAAACATACACATTTACTTGCCTTTTCCAGTGCCACTTTGCAGAACACAACATCAGGCTTAATCTTGAATTGTTACAAAAGATCTTAGCAAACCTAAGTTGTTCAATGGATGTAGGGCCTTGTGTCAAATCTTTTATATACTTCTCTGGATAAACAGAGAGAAGTGGTTTAAAAAAAAAGGCATCTGACAATAACTCGTATTCTGGGAAGTTACATAAAACAGGAAACATGCCAGTAAAGAGTTTCTTCCCTTTTAAGATGTGTCCAAATTAAAGGACAATTGCCTTGGTTGACCAGAGAAAGATTTCTTTGGTAGCTTGCCCACAAAAACAATCCAAGAATAATGAGTGCAAGTAGCTGGACAATATTTTTCTAAAAACCATTGCTTGAAAAAACATCATGGTTCTACAAATGACCAGCATGACTTTATGTTCTGTGTTTAAATAATCCAGTATTCATTTCCCTGCTTTCCTTCTTTCTGATTGTCCTTCCATGGCAATCTCCCTGTGGTGGGAAGATCATGTATTTCAGTACCTCTGTGAAAAAAAAACCAAACTTATCTTTCTTTTTTATATAATAAATTAGTCCAGGATTCTTTATTTTCATTGTAGTGCTTTTGGCTCTGTGGTGATGCAGTGAAACTCAGTAACTTTCTATTTTTATGTCTTAGTGGATGTTTCTGCATGCAGAAAACTTCCTAACTTCTAAACATTATGGATTTGCTGGCTTTTAGTGCATTTCTTGACAATGTAATTAGTCTTTCCTCCAGCTTTCTTTTTATCAAGAAATGGCACCTTTTTAAAGGAAAAGAGAAAACAAAAACAAAACAACCTGACTTGAGGTCTCGGTTCACACAGAGTTTCCTTTGCAGTAAGGGTGAAGAAAGACATAGAACCTGAGTGACAGGTATGTTATCACTTGTATGAAATGGGCTACGCTTCCTAGACTCTCCCAACACAACTGTTAATAGCCTATAGCACAGGAACAGAACATTTGTATTTAAACAAATCATGGGTTACTTGTTTCATGTATCCTCTCTTGTTGGACACTCTATTCCTTTGCTTTTTATTTGCTTTTCCTCTTTATAGTCTGTCATTTTAACCAATATATCTAAAGGAATTTGTAATAACCTCTTTGCATGCATATAAAAAACAAGTATTTTTTTCAGTTATTAAAAACTACTTTATGAAAAGAAAATTCATAATGCTCTTTGGCATTCCATCCTCCTTACATGGCTTGTAAGACATCAAGTATTTCTCTCGCTAGTCTGTGGAAGTCTGCAAAAACTGGGAAGCTGGCAATCAGGATCTGATATAAGGCACCCAGCATTTATAGTTTTAATCAAATTTTAAACATTCCAAACTGATTTAGGGTCTTAAACCAGAAAGTATTGCTTCGGAAACCTATCAGCTACACTTAAGCAAAAGCATATACAGCTTTTTTGTTCAGGAACTGAAAAGAATTGTTTCTTTTTCTCTTTCTGAAGAAAATTTCCATTAAATCTCTAACGTGAATATTATTTTAAAAAATGGGTTTATTTCCTCAGAGAAACAAAATTTTCTATGAATATTTGTCACACAGTAGCTATTTTCCCCTCTGAGGTGTACCGACCCTGGCTGGGTGCCAGGTGTCCCCCAAAGACACTCCCCTCCTCAGCTGGATGGGGGGAGAGAAAATAAGATGTCTCATGTGTTGAGATAAGGACAGGGAGATCATTCAGCAATTACTGACATGGGCAAAACAGACTCAACCTAGGGAAATTAATTTAATTTATTACTAATCAAATCAGAGTAAGATTATGACAAAATAAAAGCTAAACCTTAAAACACTTCTATCTACCCCTCCCTTTTTCCCAGGCTTAACTCTACTCCCAAATGCTCTACCTCCTCCCTGCCACCCTGCCACTGGTGCAGGAATAGGAGTGCAGGGTCCTTTTCATAGACCTTTGTGTCTGCAGATTCGTTTCTGTACTCACTCCTCTTTCCTGATGAAGTTGCACTTCAGTGGGGGTTTTTTTTCCCTTTTTAATTAGAGTTACTACCACCACCATTAATGGGCTCTGCCCTCTTTGGAGCTGGCTGGTGTTAGCCCCATCAGATATAGGGGAAAATTCTAGCAGTTTCTCACAGAAACCACCTCTGTAGCCCCCCACTACCAAAACCATGTCATGCAAAGCCAATACCCGAATTCCAAAATAAAACTGCTGTTATTAAAAGCTTACTGAAGTCAAAAAGCATTCAGTTTTTTAGGGTTTTTAATTGAAGACTAGAACTTAGATAGTATGGCATGGAGTTTTTTGATTTAGGTTTTTGCCAAAGATTTGACTCTGACAGCTAAGGGCTGTGTAGTTAACTGCTTTTAATCATATTACTCTCACAACTTGTGTCAGCATTGCCTAGAGCTACAGAAAGCTGCTCAGTATTGTAGAGACTGAGATTCTAGTAAACAAAAATCAGTGTAAAATATGAACAAAACTACACCAGTGTGGATTTAGACAAAAGGAGATGGGCAAGGGTAAATTCTCACCCTCTACCCTCTAATCTGCAAATAAGAGGGGTGAATGGATCTAACACAGGCAACGCTAATGGGCAGCAGTGTGTATGATTTACAGAAGCAAAGGTGAATGGAGGTGGGGGGGATCGTGGTAATGCAGAAAACAAGGAAGCCAGAGCCCAGCTGTTGTGTAACCATGGGCAACTACACGGACTCACAGGGAATTTCAAAGGTGCCAGCACAACTGTCTTTGGGGTCTGCCAAACAGCCAGATGCTGGTGTGGAGTCAATGTTTTAGACCATTTGCCATACTGTTTTCAGAATTCTACCTGATCGTCTTCCCAGCTCCTTTGGAAAACCCAGTGGTGTGCTAATTACAAACTTCATAAAAGGAAAAAAAAGAAGTCCACAGTACGCTTAGTGTATTTACAGAACTTCTGCTGAAATGCAAGACAAAAACGTACACTGTTGAAATCAGTATGTTAAAATTAGTGGGCAATGTATAACATTCATGGCCTCTTTGATTAAAAATGAAATTCCTTCTTTCTGTAATATCTAGGGATTTTCATTAAGCAAAATGAAGATCTTAAGGACAGCTACTAAAAGCAGCAGCTGACATTCCTGTTGGTAGAGCTATACAGTGGCCTGTGACTTATTTTTTCCCCACTTCTTATTCCTAGTGAGGCAACACATATCTGCCCCATATACTCTTCTTCTGAAAACCCTCTGACCACTGGAGAAATATGAGAATCCTGTAATAATTCGTGGTTAAGTAGGTCTGATGAGAAGGGTAAGCTGAAGCTATAGATTTCCCATTGGTAGATGCCTGTCTGTTGATTAGACATAACTGTGTTTATATTTCCATCTCTTCCAGATTAGAGGATATAAAAGCAGTCACCTGTCAACCCAATCCAGCAATGAAATTCAGCAGCCTATTGTCCCAATCACTGCTTTCAATCACTCTAAACGGTCTCCAGAGACAATCATTATTATAGGACATGTTCCTAAGAGTAGATAAATGGAGCTCAACCTGCCAGCCTGCATAGGGAAAGATGGACAGTCTTGGCCAAAAATATGAAAGGGCCTGGAGCTTTATTGACATTTACATCAAAAATAGTTAGCAATGAAAGCAGCTGTTGTGGAGAGCTTTCACCACAACGTGTTTGGAATATGCTGTGAATTGAAATACAGACCTCCTGACAAGCAATTTACCTTCTGTCATTCTCCATGTGCTTGCAGCATTACTGGGTACTTGCTGTGATAGCCCACTTAAAGCTGCACATGTGTACAGTTTGGATGAAAGATTAACTGCAATTTGAGGCAGGAAGTAACGAATTGTGGAGTGCCATTCATAATGGCCGACATTGTCATCTGCAGGGTGACACCACAGCAAGAAGGTGCCTCTGTTGTGACGAGCTTATAGATTCAGATGTCATTCATCCTAATGAAGATCTGCCTACAGTTCTAATAAGCAGAGTGTGAGACAGCTCAGGATTACAAGCATTAATCTGCCTTGTTTGTTGACATTAACATGATGACTAAAATGCCATTATGCAAGAAATTCTTTCTAAAGCTATTAAAAAGGGGCACTCTTAATGTGAGTATTACAGCCCAGAACAAAAGACGTGCCAGGAGTTAATTTCTGTGTTTACTCTTGTCATTTTCTACACCGTATTGATTTTTTTATTCCTCAAAATAACTTATGTTGCACAAAAGTTTCTGTTATTTCATGAATATAGTACCACTTATTGCAGCTGAAATACAACCCACATGCTGGTTTCCCCTAGCGCAAAACGTAATCCATTAACCCCCAGTGATCATAGCAGGTTGTGTTTAATGCAAATAACAATAGGATAAATATTTAGCTATCATTTTGTGAAAACAACAAACCTGAATCATGCCAAGCTTACTTAAAAGGAAGACTTATGCTAATATTTAATTTAAATAATTGACCTAATATGTAGGTAGATTGGATTTTCTTTTCAGCCATACAAATAAGCCATTTTCAAGCTGATGCAGTGCTCTTGACTATGGGTGTCAATGGAGACCTGCCAAGGCTGATTTTTCCAAAGACATCAAGTCTCTTACAAGTCATTATCAACGGGAATTGAAATAAATCTGTGTGTAAATCTGTGTTTAAAGAGGGCTAGAAGAAGGATATTAAGGGGTTTGATCTTTATCCCTGCAGAAGTAGATGACATATATAAAAATGGATTTGTGTGCCTGCCTTTACAACTAAGCTTAAGTATCATTTGCTATCTAAAAACTGTATTCACTAGCAAAATCCAGGCAGCAATCTAGTATCTCAGATAAGGGCTAAAATATTTTCACTGTAGATACACACCTAAGACACACAGGTTTTAAAGGACAGTGATGCAGATGGGAGATTTCTTTGCACTTGTACATGCTTCAGCATCTTGGTTTGTTTTTTGTTTTGCTGTTTGTTTTGGGGTGTTGGTTTTTTTTTTACACCTAGTTCTTAAAACCAACTTGAAAATTCTTAATTCTTAATTTATGTAAGACACATTTCACCAGAACATAGCTATTGCTATTTTTGCTGTCTGGATGTGGAACAAATTACACTCCTCAGTAAGAAATTTGGGTTGATGGTAGGTTAGTAAAAGATCTTCTAAAAAAGTTAGTCAAAATCTAGTGGCAGCTGTTATCTTTGTGTCGGTGGAGGACAAGGTGAAAGATTTATCTTGACATATGTTTGCCTATACATCAATGGATAGAGGTGAAGCAGTTTAAAACCGAGGAGGACCTAGGAGACGTGCTGAGGGACAATTATTCACTGTGCCTTCTAAGTCTTTTATATCTCTGCAAATTGGACAACATTAAGTAGTCATATCTACCACAGTCCAGCAGGAAAAAGAGTGGGAAGAAAATCCATGCTATGTGTGGGACCATTGTAGGCTGCTTCTAATGAGAGCTGGGAAGTGGGATCCTTATTGTAATTCTGTGACTTAGTGACTGAAAGCTACATGCTACAGCAAAGCTAAGCATGGATTTTTGTTTTTCCTTCTACTAAGGAAGTTTTTACTACTAAGCCATGATACCTTTAGAAAGGTCCTTCTGTAACACTAATATAAGGATATCTAGAAGGGAAACTAAAATTGCCAAAGGGTGCATTTATTCCATGGGATATCCAGGTTCCTCCTGGATCTGGACCTGGAGAATGTGGCACTTCCCTTCTCCCCTGGTCCTGGAGCAGAGTAGAACCTGACACGTGGGGGGCTCAGGTTCATTGCATTTCCTCTGTTTGATGGGGCCCTAATTCCACCCCCAGGCCTCTGTGGGGGGTCAGGATATTTGGTTTGGTCTCCAAATCTCCCTGTGGATGAGTGGCTTTTTCTTAGAAGGTGAGAAGATGATTTCAAGTCTTCTTGAAGGGGGGTTGTGCTGAAAGGTTTGAGCTGCCAGGCACAAAGCTCAAGTGTGCTAGGGACTAGCAATAAGGCAATGAAGAAATCCCAAGGGGGGAGATGGAAGCTGGCCTCTGCCTTCCCCTCCTTGTCTAGGTGGGATATGCTCTGAGGGTCTGAAGCACAAGGCTGCACTCACACAGAGGCATCCCATATGGCTTATTGTCTTCTACATCCCTTTCATGGTATGACTCCCTTGGCACCACTGACAGGCAGTCCCTCTTGGCTGTTTCAGCTGGGTGGGACTTCTGGATCAGCTAGCACTGACTCCCTGACATATTTCTGACTAGAGATATGCTCTGTCCCAAGGGGAATGTACCTCAAAGAGCAGCTCCTCGTCCTACCCCCTGCACCAGCTACACACCTCCGGAGCACCAGATGCATACAGCAGCTTTCACGATGTCTACACAGTGGGTTGGAACAACAGAGTACTGAACCATTTTTCTGCTCGGTTTGAACAAGGCAGCTATTCATTTCTTAAGCCTGCATCAGGTAGATGAGGACAGCACAAAATTAAAATTTCAAGTCCTTCTGAGAGAATTTTCCTCTTGCAAAACACTGTGGTCCTTCATGGTGGTAATCTGGCTGTTTGTGGGAAGTGTCCTAAAGGTAAGAGTGAAATGCCACCTGCAAGCATGCTTCTAAAACTTCTAAAAACTATCTATCTCAATTACATAGCCATGAGAGTTATTCCAGGCCACAGAAACCCTGCTGCCATGGTTTAACCCCAGCTGCAACCATGCCACACACAGCCACTTGACCATTTTCCCACAGTCAGTTGGGGGAGAAAATGGTAAGGGTAAAAGTGAGGAAACTCATGGGTAGAGATAAAGACAGTTTAACAGGTAAAGCAAAAGCCACACATCCAAGCAAAGCAAAACAAGGAATTAATTCGCCACTTCCCACCACAGGAAGGTAGGTGTTTAGCCATTCACAGGAGAGCAGGACTTCACCACATGTAATGGTTACTCGGAAAGACACACACCATCACTTCCAACATCCCCCCTTCCTTCTTCTTCCCCTACCTTTACATGCTGAGTATGACATCATATGGTATGGCAAATCTCTTGGGTTAGCTGGGGTCAGCTTTCCAGCTGTGTCACCTCCCAGCTCCTTGTGCAGCCCCAGCCTGCTCGCTGGTGGGGTGATGTGAGGATCAGAAAAGGCCTTGACTCTGTGTAAGCACTGCTCAGCAGTAACTAAAACATCCCTCAATTATCAACACTGTTTTCAGCACAAATCCAAAATGTAGCCCCACACCAGCTACTATGAAGAAAATTAACTTTATCCCAGTCAAAACCTGCACATCTGCTTAGGCTTCGTGTAAACTGTGATATATGGATGTATGCCCACAGCAGGGTCCTGGTCCTCTGAACAGGGGAGGTGCTTGGAAGCACACCACGTATTTTGCCAGCCTCTGCACATAGGTAGCCTTCCTGTGGAAAAAAAGAGGATTTGAGATGGTGAGGTAGAGAAGATAAAACCCCTGAATTGCACCCAGACAGAGACAGCTCAGTCCTGGAAACCACCTGCAAGCCACAGGCTGGGCCAGTTCTGAGGGTCTACCTACATCACTCCACTGAATAGCAGGCCCAGCCCAAACCCAGCAGATTCACAGGATATCGATTCAGCAGGAATAGTATCTGTAGATGCAAAAGCCACCTGTGTGAATATTTGTTGGAACTTTTTTTTTTACTTTATTTATTTTTTTTTTGTAATGAAAAAGACTTTTGAAGTGGTATATACTTACATTTGCTTGTTTGTTTGTTTGTTTGTTTCCAAGGAACAAAATGATGAATCCCAATAATCCAGATCCAGCTGAGATTTGGGATGAAATGGTTCTTTGCTGGGAAGTGCTTTTGCTTGTGGCATATATTTATTTTCTGGTAGAATCTAGCCATCCATAAATGTCCACAAGGTCTAAGAAACGAGTCTGCAAGAACAGGCTTCTTACCACGCTTTTAATTCTGGACTCAGAGCAAAAACGTAGCTGATTTATTAAACATTGCTAGAAATGCAAATGAATTGTTTGAAGTTAACTACAGATTTTGGTGGCATAAGTGTCCCACAGATCCGACTGACTGAAGACGTGTGAACAGGTGAATAGCATCCGAATTACTGACTACTTTCCGTATTTAAAATGAGAGTGGAGTGGAATATTTCTCTAAGGCAAAGGAAAGTGGTAGCTGAAAGCATGAGGAGAATTTGAAGGAGAAATAAATTTTAAAAAAAAAAAGAGGGGGAAATTTTTTTTAAGATAAAAGTAGATAGAACCCAAAGTATATGTTGCTGAACAGACCCAAAGTATTTTTAACTAAGAGTTTCATCTGTTTTGAATTAATTCACTGAATAAAAACATTGCCTTTTCTAAGCAAAGTCTGATGCACAGTTTTCACAGAGCTTGGCAAAGCTTCCATCAAATCACTTGTGTCTTTAATTAGACCTTGTGCTGGGAAGAAGCTGACTGTGACTTTAGGGGTCAAGATGGAGCATCTTATCTTTAAGAGGGAATAATAATGGGTCATTGAACCACTAGGTAGAAGTTCAGAAAGCATGAGTATTTGACTGCCTATCAAGTTTCCATTTGGATCTAGGAGCAGATCAGAAAAATTCTGTCAGCCTGCATGAAGAATTGTCAAAACTTGCTGCAAGGCTAAGGGAAGTAAGACAGAGAGGGTCTCCTGGTGATCACACTGATCCGACTGAAAGCAAGGGCTTTTGGTCTCTGCTTTGATATTTTCATATCAGAGAAAAATACTGGCCTTAATAATGGAAGGGAAGAACGCCAAAACTAAAGGTCTGAAAATTGCTGGTTTTCCCACAAGTATTAGGAGAAGCAGTCAAATGAACACACTGGAGGATTATCTTTTCCTCTTTTCAGACTGCATTAACTTTCAGCCAGAGCTATGTAGGCATATTTCTAGCCCAGAAGCTGGACCTACTTTTGCCTCCTCTAACACTCATTAAACAGTAACACTATCTGGCAGCAACAAACAGTGCAAAATAAGTCTAAGATTATCCAACAGCAGACACAGCTGAGAACATTCAAAACCAGCTGGCAAGTGTTTGGATTTACTCCAGATTCTCATAGTTGTCTTCCTTAATGCAGACAAAGGTAACAAATGTGAAAGAGGGGCCAAAGATTCCTGGTTTGTTTCCATGCTGTGCTTCCACCATCAAACTGATTATCTGGTGCTCTTCGCTAACAAGGACACACTGTGATTTTCCTTCCTTAAATCCGCTGAATTTTGTTGAACCTTGGCAAGTGATAGAGCAAAGAATAAAAAACCAACATCCATGAGGACAGCATGTGACTGAAAGGAAAAAATCTTCTGACATATCTTAGTGAAACCTTGCAAACTGATTATGTTGCATATGACTTTTCTTCATTGTGCTCAAAGGACCACACAAAATCAGCCCTCCAAAAGCTGAAGTCTTGGCTTATTGCCATCAGGAAAACCCAGACTCAGAGAACAAGTCCTTGAGCAAAGGACTTGTCTCTTTCATACAGCTCATGTAGAAGAAGGAAAGACTTCAGACAGGCATTGCCTGACACTAAAACCTGCTTGTCTGCCTGTGGTAAATCTGTGTTTGATACACCGATACAGATGTCCCCGTGCTTGCTTTTCATTTGAGACCTTTCATTGCTTGTAGCTGACATTCAAACCAGCAAATGGAATAAAAGCTTGATTGCCCCGACCACACCAAGCGTGAGCTCCAGTCTCCTTTCTGTAGTACGCCTGTGCTGCTGGCAGCAGTAGGCTGCTCCACATGACACTGGTAAAAGAAATATTGTGAATGTTGTATTATTATCTACTTCTACTATTTCTATTTAAAAGGCATGTTTTTAACTTCAAGCACAACTGCTTCTCCCCAGTCTCCCCAGCACCCCCCCACCCCCCCCACCCCCCCCCATTCCTCTGACAGACTTGGGAGCTACATGAATCACATCCTTTGTGAAACACTGAGGTTATTTGGTATCATGAGAAGACACTCCTGCCATTTAGCCAGACAGTATATTTTCTCTGTGAGTAGCTACATGTGAACATAATTTTCTAGCCAAATTCAGCAATAAGATGTTGTTAGAAAGTGTAGGTGAATTCTTGCAGCTCTTGATCTCAGTGCTTTAAAGAGTAGAAGTTCCCTTGTCAGGGAGGTCTTACTGCTCTACCCTGTTCAGCATACCTGCAGGACCTTTGTGGAGACCATCTGTGCCCTTTCCTGAAGGCAATCTGGACCAAAACTGCCTCATTCCTGGGGGGAAGGGAGTAACACCCAGCTACAAATGCTGAGGGAAAAAAAAGTATACTTCTTATTGTGATGTGCGCCTTCTCTGGATTCTAGATATGATCTCCGAGAGGAGCTGTGTATTGTAAGACAGAGGAAAAACTAAGCTGATGCTTGATATTTGTAGTACGGCAGGACCCAGGAGCCCAAGTCAGTCTCAGGGCTCCCTTGTGCCAACTTTCCTTCAAACACTTTTTATACTTTATCCTATTTACCTGTTAATAGTGTTTTTCTCTCCTTTTTAGCTTCTTGCAACTTTGGGGTTTGTTTTTTTTTCCTTTCTTTCTCAGGGGCTTATTCCCTCTGTCTTGTTTCTGAAAATCAGTAGGGAAAGCAAACAATTTACTTTAATATAATTTAATGGGCTTCCCAGATTGCATGTGGTGACTAACTGACAAAGACACTCCTCTGCTAGGGAAAATTTCCTTTGAGGTCTTCTGTTCTCGTAATAGGAACAGTTTGAACAGGCAGTACTTGTTTCTTTTAAAAGCATTTTCTGAATAAACAACTTTAGTTGGAGTTCTTTTGCTTGACTTCCTTATGACTTTGGGAGTACTTGTTGCAAAAGTTACCCTCTAAGCTAATTAATAACTACTCTGTTTCGCAAACATCTTCATTCTCACCTTGCAAGTCAGCCACCCTCATAGACAGGTGAGGGCTGCTTCATAGCTGATATAAATTGCCCCAAATCTGAATGAGGAACTGGAGGAGACAGAAATGGGCAAGAAGACAGGACTAGTTATAAATCTGGCCAAGACACTGAAGGGGACATCATTTCCAGGCTTTCATTCCACACTGCAGATGAACAGAGAGAAAAACCTGAATGCAGTGGAAGCAGTGAGCTCCACTGTGCTCCAGTCGGTTTATAGCTATAAATCAACAAGCCCTTAGGAACAAAACTTTTTAAGGTAAGTACTGTTAGAGACGCAGCTAACAGTCTGTGATGTCTGTTAGACATCCATGGCTGTGGATCTTCAGATCACCCTACTGAGATGGAGGTGAAACTGCAACACCTTCCTCCAGACCTGTCCCCCTCATGTCCTGGGATCAGTTTGCTGCTGTTTTATGAGTTGAACAAACAGATTGAGCAGCAGCTCTGGAAGGCAGGGGGCCAGCAGGGCCCAGTCTCTGCAAAAAGTGACCCAGTGTGTGCTGAAGGGATGGGAAAGACCTTGAGACGTGTCATGGCCATATTGCTCCGCCTAGCAGTTGGCTTCTTCCCCCTCTGCTGTTTAATCTTGTCCTGTCACTCTGCCCATACATAAGCTCTGCTACCTGTGAACCTTATCCCTCTCCTGCATAGTCAGACAGAAGCATAAATAAATAATGATAGCAAAGGGTGGGGAGGGATCTGAGTTTCAACGTTTGAAGTAAAGGTCTGAGATAAGGGAAGTTGTGGTCAATTGAGCAAACCTTGGACAAGTAAGGAAAGTTCAGGGGAGAACAAATGAATGAATAAATAAACAGATAAAGTGCTTGTGTGACGTTTTAAATGAAGAGTCAGCTGCTCCATAAAAACAGGAAGCCTTTAAAATATGAGGAGAAAGAGGCATTTGTTTTCTGTATGCAGAAAACCATAGCCTTGCTGAGGTGGAAGGAGCAGTGGTTAGAGTCTGGGTACTTTCATTTCCACTTACAGTGCATGCAATTATAGTGGCAGGCTTCTGCTCTAACGAGATGGGGAGACAGCGTTTAAGCTTGTAAGTTGAGTGAGTCCCTATGGACAAAGGGTAGAGCTGCATCTGGGCTAAGATGAAGCATGAATCAAGCCTTGTCACTACTGAGATCATTCCAGTTTCCCTTCTTGCTACTTGCTTCTTATTTTTTGTTAGTTAAATTTTCTTGAACTGAAAGGCTTTTTAGTTGCAGGACTGGTTATAAACAGCTCTCAGTGATCAGTCTGAAGGAGTATGAAAAAAGAAAGGTATCTGCATTTACCTGATTCTGCATTTCACTAGCCTGATTCTGGTTCAACATAATTTCCTTGTTTCTCATTCATACAAAAGGAGACTCCTCTCATGAAGATATTTCAAATATCTTGTTGATAAATATTTGATATAGACGTACTGATATGCAATTTCTGACCTAAAATGACATATTTGCTTGCTTATCTGTTCACAAGAAGAGTAAATAAAACTTAAATTG